TAGATTGCCCCATCTTCCTTCCGAGGAGTGGCTGATGGATTTGAACCACCAGCCGTCTGGTTAGCAGTCAAGTGCCTTAGCCACTATGCTACCAGAGCTCCCGAAAAAAGGCTTATAAATAAATAAAAGTTTGTTTACAGATCACAGCTAAGTGTCCTGTCCTTACCACTTTCTACTGCGGAAAGACACTTTTACCTGGATTAAGAAAAGAGGCTGGAGTCAGGTAAAGCTGAAAGACTTCACAGAATTTTAATGAGACTGTATCATTTTAATTAATTACATATACTTTATGTATGTTTACACTTAACCCCTTTCAAATGCTTCTTTTAAAAAAAAGTAACATGTATACAGCAGAAAGAGTGTGGGTTGTGTGGTCAGACGTATCTATGTTCAAAACCAGGCTCTAAAATAAATAAGCCATGACCCAGTGGACAATGTACCCTCGGATGTGCCCTCCCTCAGGAAGTCCCGCACTCACAGCCAGGGTCTGGCATGGAATCAAGACGTTCAAGCTACTATTACAGATGCTCCTCACAACAGTCCAACAGTTCAGCCAAGGACTACTGCCCCACATTTGTTGTTGTTGTTGTTGTTATGTGCCGTCGAGTCGGCCCCGACTCATAGCGACCCCTCCTTGGGTTTCCGAGGCAGTATCACTACGGAAGTAGGATTGCCCAACCTTCCTTCCGAGGAGTGGCCCCACATTACAGAGGTGGAAATGGATATGAAGAACTCCTCTCACGTCACATGGCTCAGAGCAGACTGAAGCCTTTTGATGCCCGGTCCTAACTGTCCATGACAGCTCTTTGCATAAATGAGATAAACCTGAGCAGCACACGTACAACGAAACCCCACTGCCAACAAGTCAATTCTGACTCCTAACGACCCTATGAGGCAGAGTAGAACTGCCCCGTAGGGTTTCCAAGGCTGTAAATCTTTAGGGAATCGGACCGCCTCATCTTTCACCCTCGGAGTAACTGTTGGGTTCAAATGGCCAATGTTTTGGTTGAAAGCCGAGCGCTGTAACCACTGCGCCACCCAAACTCCTTTCACATGAAAAGAGATCTCCTTTTCCAAGTAACTAAGTGAAATCTGCTTTAGGGTATATTTATAGGAAGAGGTAAATTTCAGGGAGAAGTTGCTGGAGAAAAAGCTGGCTTCAATGCAAACTAAGATGACCTCATCCCCACATTAGTCACATATCATGAGACAAGCAAGCGCTTTCAAAGCCTCAAGCAAATGGGACAATGGAGATGAAAAGCAAGGAAACTAATAGAAAATGATGAACAGTAGCATAGATCCAAGGCTAACAACCGTGTCCACTATTGAAAAGTAACCAATGTTTAATAAGCATCAGGCACCACTGATGCACTTTACAGCTTCACCAGCAGGCTCCCTCCTCTGCCCATCTCTACAACTGAGACTAAACGCTACAGAAGAAATGAGACAAAGAAGAAAGCACAAAAGCTCAACCGAGAAAAAAAATCATAAATGACGGTAATACGTTAAGTCAATCCAAACGGCACTGGTCTGCAAGAAAGTCTGAAGAGGCGGTAAGGTACAGTGCTGAAGAAAATAAAAAGGCTCCTGATTTGGAAGAAGGTTCAAATACCGACCCCCTTGTCTGTATAACCCTAGGCTTGTTATTTGACTTCTCTAACCCTGTTTCCACATCTTTAAAATGAGATTGATAACCACACCTACACCTTATGGAGATACAATGAGAATTAAATGAAGACATGTTTGAAACCATTTACATGATGTCTGGGACAGGGATGTCCACTTACTCTTGTTGGTTACTGTTCTTATTACTAGGGAAAAGCTGAAGATTCTCTAACCTATGAACAAGACACAAATTTAAGTAGCAGCAGAATACAAAACCAGTCAGTCACTCCTTCTGGCATATTCCTGACCTGCCTCCTATCCCTGGTAGATCTAGTTTTGATAACCCTAAGAGACTTATCTTTACCATGTCAAAACTGAGGTAGTCAACAGAACACAAAAGGTGGGACAAGAAATCTTTATGGGGAATATAAACTGATAACAAGGAGCCCTGGTGGTGCAGTGCTTAAAGCACTTAGCTGCTAACCAAAAGGTTGGAGGTTCTAACCTACCACCCGCTCCACAGGAGAAAGATGTGGCAGTCTGCTTCCAGAAAGATGTATAGCCTTAGAAATCCTATGGGACAGTACTACTTTGTCCTATAGGGTCACTATGAAGCAGAATCGACTGGACAGCAATGGATTTAAACTGGTAGCACCTTGAAAAATAATTACCAAAAGCCTAAAGTTTACATCCTTCGATCTAGTAATTCCACTTCCAGGAATCACTGAGGAAACAGATAGAAGATTTATGTTAAGAGATCCTCAACCCTGCTATAATTCACATAATGCAAAAAATGGAAACAAACTCAGTCACCAAAAACTAGGAAGAGCTGAAACAACTCCAACATATCCACAGTGAGAACTAGTAGACAGCCATTAAAAATTAAGTAATTAGAGATCACGGTGGTGCAACCGGTTAACACACTCAGCTACCAACCAAAAGGTCCGTGGTTTGAGTCTACCGAGAGGTGCTTCAGAAGGAGGCCTGGAGGTCTACTGCTGGAAAACCTGAAGCCACTGAAAACCCTCCGGAGCACAGCTCCACTTTGGCACACGTGGCTCACCATGAGTCGGAGCTGACTCGACAGCAAATGGTTTTTAATACCAAGAGACTGAATGACACTGGTGAATATACACAATACAAGGTTAAGTGACAAAAGCTGTAATATACACAAATATATACAGGCATAGAAAAGTGACAGAAAGAAAAACATCCAAAGAGCAGCTTTCTCTGCACAACAAATCACAAGCGTTTTTTTCAATTTTCTTATTTCTACTTTTCTAAACATTATGCAATTAGTATATACTACTTTCTTGGCACAAACAAAACGTGGCTTGGTTTTTAAAAAGCTTTATCTGTCAAATTGTTATTGCTGATAAATGGTAGTTCAATGAAATCATAGTTGAAATGGTATCTGCCTGATTTGGGTATTTCTAGGGAATAATAAATACCACAGGTGAAGGCACGTATTATATGGGCTTGAAACCCCCTCCCCAGAGTCCATGCAAACCCATGGCATGCTGAACTCCTACGAGCACTATATGCACGGGCTTATTATTTACGTGAGTACATTATATGCTAAAAACTAGAAAAGTAGTACACAATTATTGTCCCCAAATAAAGCATTTCAAATCTGCATGCCCAAGAGCACAGACCAAGAAGTCGGGACTAAACGATACAGTCTAAACGATACAGCAGGCCTCACAATACAGTCTCTCCAGCAGAAGGCAGACACACAGGCCAGAAGAAGACTCTTTTAAGCACAGTTCCTTTTAGAAGTAGAAGCAAGGCAGGGCTGAGAAGAAAAAACAGAGTGGTTCTAATGCAGACCCTGAACCTCTCTGTGCAGCTTTTACACTCAGATACAGGACTGAGAGCTCTTGCAGGACCAGCAGCCTGTCCTAGAAAAGTGCTCTAGCAGATTGCTCTTACCTGAGCACAACTGTTCGATCTTTGTCAGATTCAACTGCAGAGACTCATTGATCCAAGCCAGCATGTCATGTCGACTTAGGTTATCACTGGTGACTGATGTCGAGTATACGTTCACTGCCATCTTCTACAGCATGCAAGGAAAAGAAAAGGGAGCTCACATTATTTAAGGCATGCAAGTGAGGGCAAGCATTTCCTGGAGAGTCACCCAGGGCAGTCTTGTTGGAACATTCACTTTTTAAGCCTCACCTACCTTTCAGAGAGGCCAAACCAGAGACACTAGGATTCCAGCCACAAGCCTGGCTCTCTGTGTAAAAGCACAAACTGAAATAAATCGCCCAATGCCAGCCAGCGTAAAGTTAAGGCCGTATTTTAATGGGATTGACAGAAAATTCTAAGTTACAAGAGACACTAAGGAGGCTTATGCACAAACAAGAACCTTCTCTGTTTATCAAGTCAGTTCAAGCTTGCCTATTATGGTATCAAGATGTCTTGATATCTTCAGTATTCTTCAGATACCAAAATAAAATACAAACAAATAAAAACAAAAATAAACAAAAAAATAAGATACAAACAAAAAAAAGCCAAAACTCACTGCCGTCAAGTCGATGGAGACTCATAGCGACCTCTCCTTGGGTTTCCGAGGCAGTATCTCTATGGAAGCAGATTGCCCAGTCTTCCTTTCGAGTGGCTGGTGGGTTTGAACCACCAGCCTTCTGGTTAGCAGTCAAGTGCCTTAGGCACTACGCCACCAGAGCTCCTATTCTTCAGATGGTGGGCTTTTATTAATTCTTAATAGTTTTCACTGTATTCCAAATTTTCTTTAAAGACTCTATCTACTTTAATAATTGAAAAAGCTAGCTTTTCAATAACCTAATGGGCACTAGTGGTAGTGAATGAGCTTATAGTTCTGAGTCCTCAGTATTAATTTTCTGCTGAGCCATCTGAGCAGAGGAAGCCAACTGAGGGGTGCTGAACACTTGCCTCTGCAATCCCCCCATCCAGTCCCCTTTTGATGAGCAGGAGTGGCAGTACGGCAAGTGACTTACCCTCACATCCCCCATGCATACAGTGGGCACTCAATAAATGTGACTTATCTCCAGCTTGGCAGGACAGTGTCAGAGAGAAAAAAAAAAAATGTATCTATATAAACTTTTTCAGAAATGCACATCATCTACACTCCCACACTCCCAAACTCTGTTGATAAAACCATGTAATACAAGTAGGTCAACATGATTTAGTTCCTGACTCCACTGAGAAATGACTTAATCCCTCCTGTTACCAAAGCCCGTCATTCATACCTCTGTCATTTTCTTCCTTGGGATTGTCACTACCTCTTCACCTCTGAAACACTCCTAGACCAGATTTGGGCCAGGAGGCAATCAGCTCTACACAAAGAACTGAGAATTTGAAGCCAAAACCATCAGGTTTAAATGTGAGGCTACCAGTTATCTGACAAGGATCACGGTGAGGTTCGAATGAAATCATATGCACTGTATATGCCACGGCATCCAACACATGAGGTATTAAACAAACAAGGTCCAGGGCCGAAACCCTGCCTCATCCTCTTATCTCTACAGCCACAAAGAATGCCCAAGACCTACCACAGCCTTCAAATTAATCTCACTATCTCAATCTGTTTGTTCTTCACACAGAAACAGCAGAGAATTTTATGAATTAAAGTGTCTGCCCTGTTGAAATCCCTTGAATGAATGAATGAAATGCATACTGTATGCAAAATGCTGTTATCAGGTATTAAGGAGATACACATTCTAACAAAAAACACAGGCCCAGGCTGAGTGCCTGTAAATTATGTTGGCGATGTTCATACATACACTGGGTTGTGTGTGTGTCATGCTACCATAAAACCCAAGCAGCTGGTAAAGCCAAGTGTGTCTCCTGACCACACCTCAGCTCAGAAAAATGTTAATGGCCTCCCATCATCATATAATTTAAAACTCTTTCATTAGCAGTATATTAATACCTGGCCCCATGTGCTATACTCTGCAGCCACTAAATACATGGAGTCAGGCACCCTGTGGATGTGCAATAAACATCCACTGACTCAACCAATTAATTGGCTCTTCCAGGCAGTCAAATCAGAGCCTAGTTCCCAGAGCTACAGCTACAGTTCACCCTTCCTCCATAACAATTCCTTCAACTGACCTCAACGGAAGACCCCCTGACTACCACACAAACCTCACCCTTACAAGGCAGCTTGATCCAGGCTACCACCACCTTGAAAAAGACTCCTTGACCATTCAGGTCTCTCTTCCTTCTATTCTCTTAGCAAGTTCCCAAACCCAAACCCAATGCAATGCTATCATATTAACCCCTTTGGAAGGAAAGGAGCTAAGTATATGTTCCAGAAAAATGAGGTTTCACCCTGCTCCAGGGTGTATAGCCAGTCATATAGGCCTTTTCTGGTGCCATTTTCCTCCCTTGGTGGGAGGGGGAGGAGAAGAGGAAGGGGAAGGGGAAGGAGAGACTCCAAGTTCTGCCCTGCGGTGCCGACGGGCAGCTTTGAAACAGGGATTAGAAAAGCATCTTTCACATCACTGTGCTTTATTTTTATTACCTTCCTAATAATTATTATATGGATCATCTTGCCGATGTATTCGTTTTCTTATGCATTATCTGTCTCTCCACCAATAGCAGACCCTTGGAGAACAGGCGCTTGCTTTCCTGTTCCCAAATGTATAACCACCACTTAAGACAATGTGTAGCACTTAGTAGGTACTCAACAAGTATCTGTTCAAAGAAGGAAGGAAGCCAACGACCGGGCTTACTTTTTGTCAATCATCTACTAAGAGTTTCTTGTACAATATTATCATTGTCCCATTTCACAGATGAGGAAGCTGAGGCCCAAAGAGGTTAAAGCACCTGCCCAAGGTCGCACAGCAGGAAATCGAACCCAGGCCTGAATCCAAAACTCAAACTCTTACCAGGCGATAAGGCCTCCTACAGTAGGGGCCCCAGAGCTCTCAGCAGCGCGCACTTCCACCCACCACCCTAATCCGGCGTGCTAACCAGGGACCTCCGGCCGCGGACGTAAGCCGCGGCCCAGAAACCCTCAAGCCGCCAACGAGCGGCCCCCACTTCCGGCCCAAGGCCCCGCCCCACTGGGGAACGAAGCGCGCGCCCCCCAGCCCCGTCTGCACGCGCCGGGTCACGGCCCCTCCCTTCCCCCCACCCGGCCCGAACTGCACTGCCTTGTGCAGCGGCCCGGACACCAAAATCCACCGGCTCCTGCCCGGTACGAGACCCATCCGGCCGCCCGCATGGCCACGGCCCCGCGACTCCCCGCCAGCTTACCGGCTCTCGGCTGAACCGCGTCCAGTACCAGTAACCGGCTCCGGTTCCGTCTCCGTCCCGTTCAAACCGCCCTACCCC